CCCAGAGCCCAGGCCTACTGATGGTATCATAGGCCTTGACCAGGTCAATAAAGCAGAGATGTAGGTCTTGTTGGAATTCCCTACACCTCTGCTGTAGCAGACGGACAGAAAATATGGCATCTGTGCAGGACCGCCCTTTCCTGAAACCGCATTGGGGCTCCGCAAGCCTCTCCTCAGCGTGCCTGGCAAGGCGATGCTGAATAATCCTTGCCAGGACCTTTCCCGGCACACTGAGGAGTGAGATGCCCCTGTAGTTGTTACAGGGCATCCTTCCAATCCTGCGGAACCCGTCCAGTGGTCCAGACTGTTGTTATGATGTCATATAGGGCAGTCTGTGCACAAACGCCACCCTCCCTCAGCATTTCGCTTGGGAGATCATCTCTGCCCGCTGCCTTTCCTGGTCTCAGACTCCGGATCGCCTTCAATACTTCCTCAGCAGATGGCACCTCAGCCAGCCACTCACAGGGGGTGACTTCTTCCAATATTTGAGGCACCGCAGCCTCAGCAGGGTCATCCTCACTTTGTGCCACGATGTTTTCCTGGCTGAGGGATTTTCCCTCCCCCAGGACCTCACAGAAATGCTCAGCAAATCTGCAAACCTGTTCCTGGGGGTCGGAGATTGGATCACCGTTTTTTCCCCTAATGATGGTAATAGGTGTGGCGCTGCAGGTTACTTTTTTGATGGAGTTAAATAGAGATTTGTGATCACGGGCCACTGAGGCAGACTCCATCTCCTCAGCAACCCGCGACCACCACCCATCCTTGCAGCGCCTCACGGCTCTCCGAACTCACACACTCACTCACTCACACACTCACTCACTCATACACTCACTCACACACTCACACACTCACTCACACACTCACACACTCACTCACTCACACACTCACCCACTCACTCACTCATACACTCACTCACACACTCACACACACTCACACACTCACTCACTCACTCACACACTCACTCACAGTCACACTCACTCACCCACTCACTCACAGTCACACTCACTCACTCACACTCACTTTGGTTGTTGTTGTTGTTGTGGTGGTTGTTGTTGTGGTGGTGTTGTTGTAGTTGTGGTTGTTGTTGTGATGGTTGTGGTGGTTGTTGTAGTTGTTCTGATTGTGGGTGTTGTGGTGGTGGTTGTGGTTGTTGTTGTGTTTGTTGTTGTTGTGATTGTAGTTGTTGTTGTGGTTGTTGTTGTTGTGGTTGTTGTAGTGGTTGTGGTGGTTGTGGTTGTTGTTGTCACCTGAGCGAGTGAGACAGCTGACTCTGGGTAGTAGTTGTTGTGGTTGTGGGTGTTGTTGTGGTTGTAGTGGGTGTTGTTGTTGTTGTGATTGTTGTTGTGAATGTTGTTGTAGTTGTAGTGAATGTTGTTGTTGTTGTTGTGATTGCTGTTGTGGTTGTTGTTGTGATTGTTGTGGTTTATGTTGTTGTGTTTGTTGTTGTTGTGGTTGTTGTTGTGATTGTTGTGGTTGTTGTTGTTGTAATTGTTGTTGTTGTGGTTGTTGTTGTTGTGATTGTTGTTGTGGTTGTTGTTGTGATTGTTGTTGTTGTTGTCACCTGAGCGAGTGAGACAGCTGACTCTGGGTAGTAGTAGTTGTTGTTGTGAT